CAAAGTGCAGTGGGCAACGAGTGCCGTGAATCTTCATTCATGAAAAGTTCTAGTTTCCCTGCAGCAGGTCCATTCAGTGGAGCAGTTTTTCAATGAGGACAGTTTGACATGACAATAAAAACTTTAAACAAGTCGCTGACTTTCACCGATAACTCATTCAAATCAACAGAGTCGACCCATTGCTTCATGACGCATCAAGCGTGTGTTTGAATCGTCGAGACGAAGACAGCCCTCCGTTTTGACAAACTAAGTTTATAAGACTTCATTGACCACTGATTTTGGTTGCTTATTTCGTTATTTTCTAAAGAACAGTTTCATATTTGGTTTAGAATTTAAACGTTTTGCTATTTACTTTGTACCAGATATGTTTTTTGATTTAAATAGTGATATTTTTACATGTAGCAAGCTTTTAGCTTTTCGAAGGAGAATTTTAAAATACAGCAGTTTTGTATTTTTTTAGAGAACCCATTAAAAGTGAATAAATAAAAACAACAAAATCTCAGTATGTATAAACTAAATAAATTACAGCATGGAAAGCGCTTTGTACGGGATTTTCCCATTCGTTGGTTTTGTATCTGAAATCTCACTCTTTCGCTTCGCTCGCTCGTTCGATTTCAGATACTTCACCAACTCGTGCGAAAATCCCGTACGCGCGCGCTTTCCATGAAGTAATCTCTATATCTTTGATCAAAAAAGAACGCAAATTACGATCCCTTTTAAAAGAAAACATAGGGCGTTAACTAAAAATATTAGCGGTAGTAGAGTCCGAATGAAGTAAATTAAAATTTTGATTAATGATGGGTTTAATCGAATTGTTAACAGGATGAAATGTAAGAGTGAAAAGACGAAGGACTAACGTCCGAAACGTTAGTTTCACAAAGCTTTTTACGGTGATCCAGTTTATCTACAAGTTCCTACTGTTTTATTCAGAAACATCGACGCAGTCCACGCTACKTCTACTAGTTATCACCACTGATCTCTTATACAGGCTTGAATAGAAGCAAATTGGCAACATTTAGGCTTCAGATGAAACTACTTATCAATTAATTCGTAATTTTAGAACACGCTTGCAAAGTGTTTTTGCCCATAAGTTAATTGGGGATGGGATTGGGCTTTAGGTACTCAATTTAGTATGAGGCTGAATAATTGCATAACAACTGGTTCCAAAGTATTTTGGGTTTTTCCATTTTAGAAAATAATAAATTAGAAAGGCTACTACTCCTCTTTAATTTCGGATAGTTCGTCAGACCCTAAAGTGCTTTTTAGCTCGGTTGACAATTTGCTCCACCGTAAAGCAGAGAAGCGCTTTCCAACAACTTCTTCTACTACTGAGCTAGTAAATAATTTTGCAAAGTTCTTTGAAGGAAAAATAGCTGATATAAGATCTGAATTCAATGAAGTGAGCCGCCATATCCAAGCCTGTATAGAAGAGGAGGAAATTTTATGTGTCTCATTCTCAGAGTTCAGAATGGTGTCTGAAAAGGAGGTTGATGATTTCATGGGTAAGGCTGGCAAAAAATTTTGCGAGCTTGACCCTATACCAGCCACGATTCTAAAAGAGTGCAAAACCACACTATTACTCGTTATCACTAAAATCACTACAATGTCGCTCCAATAGGGATCCATGCCAACTAGACTGACGAAAGCTTTGGTTAAACCGAAAGTAAAGAAAGAGTCCCTTAGATATCGAAAAATATCCCAATTTCAATACTGTTTCAAATCTTGAAGTTGTATCGAAGATAATTGAAAACGCAGTCGCCTGTCGAATGAAAGATAATATCTCCGATACGACCTTGAGGAATCTCTTCAGTCGGCTTACAAACGCTTCCACAGTACTGAGACAGCTCTTTTGAGAGTACAAGATGACATTCTCCGTGAGATTGATAATCAGAAATGTGTTGCTCTTTTGCTGCTAGGCATGTCGGCTGCTTTTGACACAGTTGTTTATGAATTGTTGCTTAAAAGGATGTCTAAGCATTTTGGAATAAAGGGTAAAGTGCTGAGCTGGTTTCGTTCTTACCTCAAAGACCGGAAGCAATTTGTCATGATAGACGGAATTAGGTCAATGGCAAAGGAACGTCGTTATAGTGTTCCTCAGGGATCAGTACTAGGACCGATGTTATACCTGATATACACTTCACCTATAGGGGACATTATCAGACGTCACGGTCTTAACTTTCATCTTTACGCTGATGACACCCAGCTCTATCTCTCTTTCAAACCAACAACTACTGATCAACCGGGCTCCATAGCAAAAATCGAAGCGTGTGTACGCGACATAGACTCATGGATGGTTAACAATAATCTGAAACTAAACAGAGATAAGACGGAGCTTCTGATCCTTAGTGCTCGCCACCGTCCACCTCCATCAATAGATTATATCGATGTATCTGGCGAGCAGATCCATCCTACTACTTTTGCAAGAAATATTGGAGTTACATTTGATGAGCATATGTCCCTAGACAAACATGTTACCAATATTTGCAAGACATGCTTTTTCCATCTAAGAAAAATTAGCAAAATACGGGATTGCCTATTTCTAACTGACACCGAAACATTAATACATGCATTTATAACTCCAAAATTAGATAACTGCAACTCATTATTATATGGATTGCCTAAATTCTTAATTGGCCGACTGCAGAATGTTCAAAATGCTGCTGCACGTCTTATTAGTCATACTAAAAGGTATGACCATATAACACCTGTGCTAATGCAGCTTCACTGGCTTCCTGTTATTCAGCGCATTAATTACAAAATTCTTCTGATGACATACAAAGCGCTTAACGGCTGAGCACCTAATTACATCAACGAAATATTACAGCCATACAAACCGTCAAGGAGCCTGAGGTCTACTTCTAAAAATCTGCTGAGACAACCACCTGCAAGATTGCCATACAAACCGTCAAGGAACCTGAGGCCTGCTTCTAAAAATCTGCTGAGACAACCACCTGCAAGACAGCCATACAAACCGTCAAGGAACCTGAGGTCTGCTTCTAAAAATCTGCTGAGACAACCACCTGCAAGACAGCCATACAAACCGTCAAGGAACCTGAGGTCTGCTTCTAAAAATCTGCTGAGGCAACCACCTGCAAGACTGGTAAATTATGGCCACAGGTCTTTTTCATATGCAGCACCGAAACTCTGGAATGCTCTTCCAGATCATGTCCGCCAGAGCAGCTCATTGCCTACTTTTAAGAACAATACAAAAACACATCTTTTTAAACAGTTTTTTGATGTACTTCTCCCGTAAATTAGTTATGTTAACATTTATAAGTTTTAGATATATTGTAAAGCGCTATTGAGCTTCAGGAAATAGCGCTATATAAATTTTGTATTATTATTATTATTATTATTATTATTATTACTATCATTATTATTATTACTATCATTATTATTATTA